TGGAGGCGGACTGGTCGGGCCTGCAGGACAGGAAGAAGCGGAAGGCCTTTAGGCCATCAGCATGGGGAATGCAGGTGTATAGGGACTGGACGTCCATGGTAAAGATGAGGTGTTGGAGACCGGGGAATTGGAAGTTCTGGAGGAGGTGGAGAGCATGGGTGGTGTCACGGACGTAGGTAGGGAGTTCTTGGACCAAGGGGGAGAAAATGGAGTCGAGCTAAGTGGAGATAAGTTCGGTGGGGCAGGAGCAGGCGGAGACAATGGGTCGACCAGGGCAGTTAGGTTTGTGGATTTTGGGAAGGAGATAGAAGCGGGCGGTGCGGGGTTGGGGATCGATGAGGTTGGAGGCTGTGGGTGGGAGGTCACCTGAGGTGATGAGGTTGTGGATGGTTTGGGAGATGATGGTTTGGTGCTCAGGGGTGGGGTCATGATTAAGGGGGCAATAGGAGGAAGTGCCAGAAAGCTGGCATCTGGCCTCGGCGATGTAGAGGTTAGTTCGCCATACTACAACTGCGCCTCCCTTGTCAGCGGGTTTTATGGTGAGGTTGGGATTGGAGCGGAGGGCTGCACGTTCTGCGGGGGAGAGGTTGGAGTGGGTGAGAGGGGTGGAGAGTTTGAGGCGATCGATGTCTCGACGGCAATTAGAGATTAAGAGGTCGAGGGAAGGTCGGAGGCCTTGGGGTGGTGTCCAGGAGGAGGGGGTGTGTTGGAGGCGGGAGAAGGGGCCAGTAGAGGGAGGGTTAGGCTCACGGTTGAAGAAGTAAGTGCGGAGGCGGAGGCGGCAGAAAAACTGCTCCATGTCCAAACGTGAGCGGTATTCGTTGATGTGTGGGTGGAGGGGGACAAAGGTGAGCCCTTTACTGAGGACTGACTGTTCATCCTCAGTAAGGGGGAGGTCTGGGGGGATGGTGAAGACTCGGCAGGGCTGGGTGCTATTGTCTCATCTGGAGATGCTGGCTGCGGAGGTGGTGGGCGGAGCGACATCGGCAGTGGGCGGAGCAACGTAGGCCGGTAAATCTTGGATGTTGGTGGCAGCGACGTCCTCGATGTCTGTGTTGTTGGCCTTGGAAATGGAGGTGGCGGCATCAGCAGTGGTGCTGATGGCGTTGACTGTACCAGAGGTGGCGTACCGGGCGGCAGTGGAGGATGTGATGTTATCCGTGGAAACCGTTGGTGCTCCGAAGGTGGCCACATGGCCAATGGCAGCGGGCACATGGTGGGGAAGGTCCTGAGTAGGGTGGCAGGCACCAGTAAGTTTAAAGTACTTTCGGTTTTTAGTGTCTAATAAAGCCGAGTAGAATTGAGAGTTCAGGTTGTGGATCTTACGGAGAATAAAAAACAGGAGAGGTCCTTTGCAGGTCTGGGAGAGGGAGGCTCTGAGCTGGGGTAGGCTTAATTGTAGTATTTGGAGATGCCGGCGCATTGCAGTGAGTGTGTATTTCAGGAGTCGCAGGGAGAAACGCTTCTGTAGGATATCAATGTTCTGAATGTAGTGGTCGTCGCGGTTGGGGCCATATTGGGAAGGCTTAAATGTAGACTGTAGTCCGTTGGGGATGATCCAGTTCCATAGGCAGGTACTAGGAAAGGTAATGTGGCTGTAGTACCTGGTTTGCTTTAGGACATGGTCGAGCAGTTTCGTGGTCGAGCAGTTTCAAGGCCGAAGAGATTACAAGAGGGTTGCAGTGGGAGAGGGATGCACTGAGGTTTTTCCGGAGGGAGGAGGGTAACTTCTTTAAGGTGGGCATCCTTAGAAGAGGCTTCGCAGTGGGGTTAAAATTGTTACAGAGATAGTAGGAACTGCCAATGCTGGAGAATATGAGATAACACGGTGTAGGGCTGGATGAACACAGCAGGCCAAGTAGCATTAGCGGAGCAGGAAGGCTGATGTTTCGGGCCTAGACCCTTCTTCAGAAATGGGGGAGGGGAAGGGGGTTCTGAAATAAATAGGGAGAGAGGGGGAGGCGGATAGAAGATGGATAGAAGAGAAGATAGGTGGAGAGGAGACAGACAGGTCAAAGAGGCGGGGATGGAGCCAGTAAAGGTGAGTGTAGGTGGGGAGTTAGGGAGGGGATAGGTTGGACCAGGGAGGACGGACAGGTCAAGGGGGCGGGATGAGGTTAGTAGGTAGGAGATAGGGGTGGGGCTTGAGGTGGGAGGAATGGTTAGGGAGGCGGGGACTAGCTGGGCTGGTTTTGGGATGCAGTTGGGGGAGGGGAGATTTTGAAGCTTGTGAAATCCACATTGATACCCTTGGGCTGCAGGGTTCCCAAGCGGAATATGAGATGCTGTTCCTGCAGCTTTTGGGTGACGTCATTGTGGCACTGCAGGAGGCCAAGGATGGACATGTCGTCCAAGGAGTGGGAGGGGGAGTTGAAATGGTTCGCGACTGAGAGGTGTAGTTGTTGCGAACCGAGTGTAGGTGTTCGGCAAAGCGGTCCCCAAGCCTCCGCCTGGTTTCCCCGATGTAGAGGAGGCCACAATGGGAACAGCGGATACAGTATACCACATTAGCAGATGTGCAGGTGAACATCTGTTTGATGTGGAAGGCCTTCTTAGGGCCTGGGATGGGGTGAGGGGGGAGGTGTAGGGGCAGGTGTAGCACTTCCTGCGGTTGCAGGGAAAAGTGCCGGGGATGGTGGGGTTGGAGGGGAGTGTGGAGCAGACAAGGGAGTCACGGAGAGAGTGGTCCCTCCGGAAAGCAGATAAGGGTGGGGAGGGAAAAATGTCTTTGGTAGTGGGGTCAGACTGCAGATGGCGGAAATGTTGGAGGATGATGCGTTGGATTCGGAGGTTGGTGGGGTGGTACGTGAGGACGAGGGGGATTCTGTTTCAGTTGTTATTGCGGGTAGGGGGTGTGAGGGATGAGTTGTGGGAAATGCGGCAGACACGGTCGAGGGCATTTTCGACCACTGTGGAGTGGAAGTTGTGGTCCTTGAGAAACGAGGACATCTGGGATGTCCGGGAGTGGAATGCCTCATCTCGGGAGCAGATGTGGCGGAGGCGAAGGAATTGGGAACAGGGGATGGCCTTTTTTCAGGAAGGTAGGTGAGAGGAGGTGTATTCTAGGTAGTTGTGGCAGTTGGTAAGTTTGAAATGGATATCGGTTTCCAGGTGGAAAGAGCACACTTTTGTGGCTAGGGAGGCTGAAGGTGGG